ATTTTTAAATTGTTAAAATATTTCTATACAGGAGGGTATAAATGCATGTGGCCTGAAACACTTGGTATGTATGGAGAACAAGCCAAGAGAATCATCGAGAAAGACAACCCATTGGTGACTGTTGAGATTGTTCATAGAGGCGAGCCTGTAACTGATGATTTCCGCTGTGATCGAGTCCGGATTTTCGTAGATGAGCATGGAAAAGTTGCATTTCATGCGCCAATGGTTGGCTAAAAGATATAAAAAGTGGAACATTTCTCAATAAAAACTAAGAATAATCAATAAGATTATGGAATAAAGATGTTTCCTTTCTTTTGGCCAATGAAATTTAAATTTCTGGATACATGTGCATTGCATTTCCCAACTTGGTCATTCTACCAAATAGGAATTAGGCTAATTTAAAATTAAATTTAAAAAAATATCATCATCTATAGATTGATAAGTTATACATTTAAGTATATTCAATATCAACGTTTAAAGTGATTACGAATATATATACATTATTATTTACGTATCTATACAAAAATAACTGAAGATTTACGTATGTTTGATTTGAATAATATGTTCACGCTACGTGAAAAAATTAAAATTATTCTTATTACATGTTCCGTGGTGAGAATAAAAATGTCTATATTGGAGCCATTAAGTTCTCATCAAACAAAAATAAAATAAAAAAGGACTTTCTTCGTGGGTATTGCTACGGTACAAATATATGCCATGCCTTATCTGATTCCTTGTAAAAACAAAGGCAAAATTTCATTTTCTACCACTCAACTTTGACGAGAAATGCAACCAATTGGTGACTATTGTGATTGTTTCTAAAGGCGAGCTTGTAGTCGAAAATTTCTATTGTAATCGAGCATGGAAAAGTTAAAGTTCCTGTGCCAATGGTTGGCTAAAAGATATGGAAAGTGGAACAACTTTTCAATAAAAACTAAGGGTGTGTCCTAAATTGAGATTGGGATGGATTTTAAAAATTCTTCTAAATTTAGATGTCCGCAATTGAGATTTTAATATATTTCAATGAAATCCATTAAAATTTAAGTGTTCACAATTATGATTTTAATGAAATTCAATGAAGTCCTTTAAAATTTAGCTATCATCAATAACTAGTAGTCTAGAAGATTTATAACGATTTAATTAATAGCGGATTTTTAAAGATATGGATGAATTTCAAGTTTAAAAAAATATATAACCAAATCTTTTGAAATTTCATCATATTTGATAAGGTTCTTATGTAATTTGTAAAAATTTATTCAAATCCACGAAATTTATTAGGATTTATAATCTTTTAAAATCTATCAAAACCTTAATTGAAGACACCCCGTAAAAATAGTCAATAAGAATATGGAATAAAGATGTTTCGTAATACATTGAGAAGGATTCTGATATTCCCAAAATCATCAATTAAAATCATCAAAGAGAGGCCAAATCATTAAGAATTAAGGGACAATTTCAAGATTTTAACCAATTGCAAGATTTCGTAGATGAGCATGGAAAAGTTAAAGTTCTTGTGCCAATGGTTGGCCAAAAGATATAGAAAGTGGAACTATTTTTCAGTAAAAACTAAGGGAGTGTTCTCAATTGAGATGTGTTGGATTTTAAATACTATTTTAAGCTCCTTTTTGGTACACATTCTTTCAAAATACACTATTTCAAAACTCATTTTCAACCACAAATTTTTTAATAAAATAATATTTTCTATCACATCAATAGTTTTTCCTTACTTTTTAATCACATATTTCTCATTATATCACTATTTAAAATACATTCTTTCCTCAATAATGTCCATCAAACACACCCTAAATTTAAATGTCCTCAATTGAGAATCCATTAAAATCTAGGTGTTCGTAATTAAGATTTCAATGAAATTCAATAAAATCTTTTAAAATTTAGCAATCATCAATAAGTAATAGTCTAGTATATTTATAAAGATTAAAGTAGTAGCGTGATTTTAAAAGATATGAATGGATTTCAAGCTTAAAAATACACATAACCAAATCTTTTGAAATTTCACCATATTTGATGAGATTCTTATATAATTATTAAAAATCTATTCAAATCCACAAAATTTATTAAGATTTAATACATGCTCTCATATTCACATATTTCATAGAAATATAAAAAGGTCACATGAGAGAATAGATTTAATTTGATATTGAGAGATGGTTTTAATTAACTTAGGAATATTGATTAACAAGAATGCGTACATATTAACATGTTATTTAATTACATTAAAACGAATTAATAAGGAGGATTTGAGGTCTTAGTAACCATATCACCTAAACTTACAAACGCTTCATAAATTGCTTATTAGAATAATTAGTATAAATCATTCAAATACACTCTGTATTTGATTAATGTAAGGATTAATTGACACTAGGCTGAGTACATAGTCCTCATATGAACAATACTTTATTCATCATTTTATTACTTGTTTACGATACCATACACTTGCGAAAAATCAAACGATCAAGTTTTTTGCACCGTTCCCGATGACTATTATATTTAATTAGTTTTAATTATATTTAAATTTAATTTGAGTTTTTTATTGCTTTATTAGTTTTTATTTCATATTAGAAAAAATATTACAGTACTTTCTATCCTTATTTTTAGGATCTTATATGCATAGTTCGAGATACATTGATCTTGCTCCATTTAATCCAAAAATTGAACGAAAGTTTAGGTCGAGAAGAAAAGAACATATAAAAACACGCCAAAAATAGTAAGCGGAATCAATGGCAGTAAATATAAAAAATCAAGTGACGATTAAGCTGAATGTAAATGCAGGCTCATTCGATTGTAGTTGCGGGTAATGAGAATGAGAAACTGATGGAGAAATACATGGTTCTGCCCGTAGCAGAAATCAAATCCAGTATAGCTTATCTAGTATTTGGATAAGTTAATTTCCATCTGAGGATGAAATTGATCAACATGTTCTAGCATCCAATGCAATTCTTCGGGAAAGCTACTGAAATTTCAAATGCTCACATATCGAAATTTTTGGATATGTGTACATCAATTGAAAATTCGGGGATTTTCGCTGATTTAATTTAGCTAAGACTCTTTCTTTAAACCTTGAGAGATTCAGCTAGAGAATAGTTGGATACATTCCCACATTACAGCATCACTGCTTGGGATAGTCTAAGCCAGAAATTCTTGAACAAATACTTCCCACCGAAGAGGATTTACAGGTTAAGGGATAAAATCACTACATTTTTTCAGCTTGATTCAGAGTGTTACTATAAAGCATGGGAAAGATAAAAAGGTATGTTATGACAATGTCCACAACATGGTCTACAAAAATGGCTTCAAATCCAGTATTTCTACATTGGATTAAATTCGACAAGCAGGGCTAACATTGACTCTGCCTGTGATGGGTCAATTATAAAAATGATAGCAAATCAGGAATATAAAATCATGGAGGATCTAGTTTATACTAGTGCACTGTAGCCAACGGAAAGATCAAATGGAAAGAAAGTTGCTGGAATACATGAAGTTAACACACTGATAGCAATCTCAGCATAGCTAGCAGCATTAACTCAAACAGCAGATGTGACAACAATTCAATAATTGGGGATTCACATTTGAAAGCACTACATCCAGTTCAAGTAATTGTTGTGTGGAGTGTGATTCAACTTCCAGAAATTAGAATTAAGAGATATATTATAGTAAATGATAATGTACCTTCCACGGATGAGGAGCAAGTAGATCAATTTGAACGGTTAGTAAAAATAGTTTCAGATCATTAATCAGATAATCGATGAGTTAAGGTAACCGCTCCTATCAAAACTTGTGTGCCTCTTGTCCCATTTCCTCAAAAACTACAGAAAAAGAAGCTCGAAGAACAGTTTACGAAGTTTTTGTAGACATATTAAGAAAGCTACATGTCAACATTCCATTAATTGCAGCCATATCTTAAATAGCGAGCTATGCAAAGTTTTTAAATGAGATCTTATCAAAGAAAAGAAATTCACTGAATTTAAAACCATCAAACTAAATAGGAGTATAGTGCTATCTTGCAAAACAAATTACCCCCTAAACTAAAAAAATCCAAGGAGTTTTAAAATACCTTACTCAATAGGAAATGATTCAACTTGTAGTTGTTTATATGATTCCGAGCAAGAATGTCATCGATGGGGGATGAACCTTGGCCTAAGATCAGTCCGACACTACAACAAAAATAGGCTTTGGCAACACTTAAAAGGCAACATTCATTGATTAAATGTTGCTAAAAGGGTCAATTGCAACATTCGTGTAAGTGAATGTTGCGAAAAATGACATTTCGCAACGTTTTTCAAGTCAATGTTGCAAAAAGTAACATTTCGTCACCTTTCGCAACGTTTTTTGAAACGTTGCGAAAGGGCACCTTTCGCAACGTTTCTAGGAAGGTTGCAAAAGGTCAACGTTTCATTTTTTTCCCATACGTTATCAAGTGTCAAAACTTTGTTATAAAATTAGAAGCCCTAATTTCTCTCCTCTCGTCTCCGCCAGTCCGCCTCCCTCCCTCACACACACACACAGCCCCATTTCACTCAGGCGACCTGCAAATCGAAGAGCCCGACCTGCAAATCGAAGAGCCCAAGTCACCTCCACAGCCGCCTACTCTGTATTGCCGCCGTTCTTCCCCTCCTCATCGCGCCATCTACATCCTCTGGCCCTCCGGCCCTGACCTCTCTATCGTCCACCCCCTGACAGGATTAAGAGCCCTACTATTTTTTCGGACATGATTTACTCATCATATTTTATTTCCATTTAAATTTGATCTCCAATGTATGTTTTACTTCTATATTTTATACTGATTAACTAAATTTCATATGGAAGTATTAATGCGTTAAGAAATTATGTTGGAGTTAGCACTTAATCCTTTTTGAGGTTTGGAAAACAGAAGCGGTTATAGGAGGAGAATTATTATTTGGCTGCGGGGCAGAATGAAATTTGAGGGAAAATTATATTATTCTTCTCTGTAAAATTTGACCATAATAGAATATCGTGTAAAATATTCATTGCTTAGATTATGTCATCGCCTATCGCTCATTCTTTTTGTTCCATTTGATTTTGAATTTTTGCTCCTTTTTTGTCTCTGCTTCTGAGACACATTTGGTAATCCTTCTGTTTGCTTCACAGGTAATTGTTTCTGAATAAAATTGAGATGGAACATGCTGAGGATATTGTCGGTGAACATCGGGAGAAGCATGATGATGAGGTGGTATGCTTGTTATACTGTAGAGTTTTTTACCTCTTTTTTTAAAAAAAAAGAATTATATCTGTTTAGTGTGAGTTAATGAACGTTGGTAATTTTGTTCTTGGCTATTTAATTAACTTGGTAATAGATTCAACGTCTTTGNATTATTATTATTTTTTTTTTTTTTTTGTGTATTCATTTTGTATAAGTCATTGAAGGAAGAGCTTGGCCATTTAATTCACTTGGTAATAATTTTTATATCATTGAGATGCTGTTTGCAGCGTACGTGGCATTGTTCCCAAATTTTATTTATTGAAATGGTGTATTCAGTAACTATCAACTTGTTTCCATTAGACAAGACGCTTATTTTCTTCTGTCGGTGATGGGTTTTCCCTCTCCAATGAACTGTATAGAGTGAGAATAAAGTTTATTTAGTGTCTATGTTTGCATTTAAGAGTCTAAGAACTCGAGAAAATGACATGTGATACTCGTTTTTGGTGTAGGAAGCTGTTGCTCGTCTTGAGGAATTTAAGAAGTCTGTTGAAGCAAAAATGGTGCTACATCAGAGTAATTTGAACCCTGAAAGGCCTGGTCAGTGGTTTCTTTCAGAGATTTTAAGCTGTTACTTTTAGAAAACTGAACAGAGATGTCTTTTCTCTTCTCTTTGTTGGTCTTAGGGAGTAGCCTCTGGATGTTTCAAATCGAAGTTTAGGGCTAACTTTTTTGGGTGTTGTAACTTATAACTTGATAAATTGCAATCTTCTTGGAATTGTGATCCCAAATCGTAACAAAAATCTTCAAATTTATTTGTGGTTCTGCAATAAGGACTCTGTTTTTTTCTTTTTGAATGCATGCATCTGGAACCTATGTTTTATTCTATTGGGAGTTCTTCTGTTTCAGAAAGGAATATTATAACCTGCGAGCAGTTTGCCATTTCTAATTTAGCTCTTAAGTACAGATCATATCTATGTAAATGCCCAATGCAAACAATCAGAGGCAATAAGTGTTCTAGTGCTATGCCTTTGTGCTCTGATGAGCTTCCACTTTGAATATGATATTGGAAACTTGTCCAATGTCTAAGGATATTAATCTTGATTCAGACTTATTAAAGGTTAGTGTTGCATATGATAATTGATTCAGACATATTAAAGGTTAGTGTTGCATATGATATCCTCTTGCTTGAATATTGAATCCGCCCTTCTTGATTCCAGACTCAGGTTTTCTCAGGACATTGGATTCTAGCATTAAGCGCAACACGGCTGTTATAAAAAAACTAAAGCAGATAAATGAGGAGCAGCGAGAAGGTATGATGGATGAGTTGCGTGGTGTCAACATAAGCAAATTTGTTAGTGAAGCAGTAACTTCAATTTGTGATGCGAAGCTTAAAGCTGCAGACATACAAGCTGCTGTTCAGGTAGAGCTAGTGATTGAGTTGATTATTTTTTCAACTGCTTGTCAAGCTGGGAAAAATTAAACAATTAAAAGTGCGGCGGGAATAGGCTTTAAGCTTTGAAGGACATGCACTGGCAGTGTCTCTAATGCATTGACTATGTAATACCTTGATGAAATTCTGATTATTTTGGTAGAACTGTTTTAGTATACTAAACCATGGTTTATTCCTGCGTATATTTTCTCTTATTCTCTGCATTTCAAGTACATGGACTAACTTGTTTGCTGCAATTAGGACTCGCCAGTTCTGAGTTCTACTTGAACTTTTGTTATGTTATAGTCAGCTTTTTGTGATATCAGTGTGTGGTATCAACAGGGTATAATGCAAGTAAGAAATAAAAGCTGCATCGACAGCTTATATATGCTAACACCGTTTACGGAATTCTTCCCCCACCCACCCCTGCCTGATCTTTTTCACTCTGCAACCATGGCCTAATATTTGCTTCATAGTGCAGGTATCTTAAAGCTGCACTTTTCTTGAAGGACCAGATTGGGATCTGAAATAGGAAGAGTTTAGCCTGAGGGTCTCCTGCAGATAAGTATCTGTTCGGTGTGGAGTGGGAGAATTTTCGTCCTTTTAAGCAGTCAGCTGAACTTCACCTTTTGTTTACACAGACATAATCCTGGATTCCTTTCTTGTTGTTCTACCTTACTACTTTGCTGCTGCATTTTATCCTATTCATACCTTCCTTGCCTTCCAAGCTTGCTCTTAGTGTCCTTTTTTAGAAAGTATCTAGTTTTCTTCCAGCACTGGGAACTGAGTGTAATAAAGACCTTGATTTTGTAGTTTATATGTGCAGGAAATATGTTCTAGCACATATCTAGAAGGGTGAAAGTCTGAAAGATGGCGTTTCATTCAGAGGAGGAACAAATTGAGGATTACCTTTTCAAGATTGTTTTGATTAGCGATTCAGCTGTTGGTAAATCGAACTTGCTTGCTAGATTTGCCAGAAATGAGTTTTACCATAATTCAAAATCAACCATAGGAGTAGAATTTCAGTCCCAGAAGATGGAAATCAATGGGAAGGAAGTTAAGGCACAGATATGGGACACGGCCGGTCAGGAACGGTTTAGAGCTGTTACCTCTGCATATTACAGAGGTGCAGTTGGAGCGCTTCTGGTTTATGACATCAGTAGACGCCAGACATTTGACAGCATTGGTAGATGGCTTAATGAACTACACGGTAAGTAATGCGTGTCATTCGATGTTACTTCTTGTCTAATTATGCTAGTGACTTTTCAATTCCTGTTACTGCACCTTCTGATTTTAATCACCTTGAGAATGACATTTGTTGCATGTTGTTATGCGTTAATAGGCAGCATAAAGAACAAGAGTTTTTAAAATTGTCTTTTCTTTGATACTGACTAGTGCTATCCAATTCATCCACCAAGCATGCCACGATTCATAAACAAGAGTTTTATTGATTGGTGCATGCATATTTTGTTTAGAATACTTTGAAGTTGGTGAATGAGAGTATTCTGTTCGGAAATGAAATTTGGCTATATTTCTGTAGTGATCACTATGATCTACGTGTTGCAAAGGATATTAAAATATAACATTCTATAATATTGGCTATATTATAGGATGCAATTTGGCTATATATATGTAGCGATCACTATGATGTTGCAAAGGATATTAAAATATAACATTCTATAATATTGCAGCAGAATTACATGATTATTTATTAATTATCCATAGAATTAAAAAATCAATAAAACGTCAAGCGACGATAATCTCATCTTATTGTTCATATAGATGCTATGCTTTATTGTTTAACATTTCCTTCTCTATCTTGATGTGACAATGCTTGATTTGTATGGTTAATTTATTCAACAGCTCACTCCGACATGAATGTAGTGACGATACTAGTAGGAAATAAATCTGATCTCAAAGATGCTCGAGAAGTTACAACTGCTGAAGGCAAAGATTTGGCCGAGGCACAGGGTCTATTCT